ACCGGGGGCGGGACCAGGGAGCCCTGGGAGACGCTGAACAAGGCGGCGGAGCACCCGGCAGGACCCGCGCCGCTTCCAGCTGATCTGGAAGCGGCCGCGGGTCCGGCCCCTGGTGCTCCGCCGCTTTGCTCCCGTCAGCAGACCAGGGAGACGGGGAGCAGCTTTTCTCGCCCCAGAGAAGGCGGGCGGCGGGACCAGGCGTCCCGCTGCTCTAGTTCTCCGGGGCAAGAAATCCCCGTTCGTAACTGCGGATCCGACGTAAGTCGGATCCGACGTAAGTCGGGGACTGCTTGTATATACATATTGGTTTGCCTTTGGCTACCAACAGTGGTTTTTTTGTTTTTGTTTTGTTTTTTGAATGAGTGTTTGGAATCTCCAACAGAATCTAGCCACTGCTAGAGGGCCCTGATGTGAATTTGTCCTGCATCTTTTGTGTGAATGAAAGGGCTCAATCTCCAGAGCAGTTGATAGCAGCTTTTTCCAGCAGTAAATTGCACCAGAAGATATTAATTTTTTTCCCCATGTTACATGTCATTCAGCTTCAAACAAAAACAATGACAAAAATCTGTACATGGTAGCAGTGATGGGATCACTACCTTAAAATATTCTTTATGTATTACTTTGCTAAAACATAAACTGCAACCTTACCGGCTATTAACATTCATTCATAAATAATTTTCTCCTTTAACTTTCATGCGCCTAATGTTTAATATGCTCATCTATCCCTGCAAGCCCTTAAGGCTTCAGTTGTGATGCCACAATCTTAGTTTTACTTGTATAGCCTTACTGCCTAGCAGGAGGGAGAGGGATAGCTCAGTGGTTTGAGCATTGACCTAATAAACCCAGGGTTGTGAGTTCAATCTGGGGGAGGGGCATTTAGGAATCTGGGGCAAATCTGTCAGGGATGGTACTTGGTCCTGCTGTGAGGGCAGGGAACTGGACTTGATGACCTCTCAAGGTCCCTTCCAGTTCTATGAAATGATATATCTCCACATATATATAGCCAAAGCCCTGCTCCTACATTAGCCTCTGGTTCTAGGCACTATACAAACACATAACTAAAAGATGGTTCCTATGCCTGGCATTTTCCGTCTGTATTCTTGCATTGCTGAGCTACAGTTCATCTTCAAGTTTGACACAATCAACTCAGGATTAAACAAAGACTGTGACTGGCTAGCTAACTACAAAAGCAGCTTCTCCTCTTTTGGAATTCACATCTCCAGATCAGCTACTAGAAGTGGGCTTTATCCTCCCTGATTTGATCCACCTCGTCATCTCCAGCCTGATTCTGGCCTGCATATTTATTCCTGCCTCTGAAAATTTCCAATACATGCATCTGACGAAGTGAGTCTTTGCCCACGAAAGCTTATGCTCCAACACTTCAGTTAGTCTATAAGGTGCCACAGGGCTCCTCGCCGCTTTTGTATATCTGATTTGTGTCCATTGATTCTTTCTTGTAGGAACTGTCCAGTTTGTCATATACAGGCAGTCCCCGAGTTACGCGGATCCGACTTATGTCGGATCCACACTTACGAACGGGGCTTTCTCGCCCCG